AAACTGAACATAGCAATCACGATATTTCAGTGTGCAGCAAGATTGATGAGGCTTATCACTGCACATTATTTCTAGTCATTTTTGGAGGAGGATGAGCGAGAGTGGGGAAGCGGGCACTTTTCTTTAAAAGAGGGTCTGTTCTTAATACCTGTATGAATCGCCTTGAATCTCTAATCTATACAGACATATGAAACTAGGAGGGCTATCCTCCACTGCAGAAGGAAATGCTGTTCTGGGGTAGATAAAGATCTTCCTCTGTTTATTACGTTTTGGAATCTGAAGCTGCAGTTCAGCTTATCTCCCTTCTCCCATGCTGTTTGCTCTAATTTTCTCCCTTTCAGTTTCTTGCTTCCTCTGCTTATCCCAGGTCCCTTCACCAGGTCCCACGTGCTGCCTACCACATCCTACTCTGCTGTCCCCAGCCAGATGCTTCTGTGCCAGATACCTTCTTTTGCTTTCCAGTGTTTCTTTGAAAATTTCAAACCGTTCTCATACTCTCAAAAGAGGAAGAGTGAGAGAATTTGGAAGTAAAATTTTGAACAAACTGGAAGAATGGAAACAATAAGATGAAATTTAGCCAAAAAAGCTACCTGAAGTCTATGTAATGATAATTAGGATATACCCTCCCCCCCAACATACTGACATCCAACTACAAGAGGCAAGTCCCTTACCATTGTCTTCCAATTTTTTTTTTTTTAAGTGTCTAGCCCATACTAGACTGGATTCCCAACAATTTGTTTGTAGGTTATACCTCAATGTGAAGAGCTGGAGAAACTGGGTCATCTAAAAAGTGGACCTAAAGTTCCAAGCTTGACAAACTTAAGCCAAAAAACTATTATCCAACAATATAATTCACCACAGTCCTTCACCAACCAGATATATTCATGACCTCAAAAATTCTGTATTCCATGAAACGGGAAGTTACAACAAAAGCTTCAATGGTTTGTCCCTTTGCTCAAGACCCTCTGACACTAAAAGCCAGCACTCAATATTTATTTAACAAGATTTTAGTTTTAGGTAACTTTTTTCCTGCTCTCTGGCTCTATAATGAATTTTACTTTGATCTGCAAAACAAAAGTATTTCCTGACTCCTACATCACATTACAATGCATATTTGTTGTTGTTAACCTCATCATACAGTCTCTTTTGCAACACAGAAGACAGTGAGGCCAGGTTTAAAACAAACAAATTCCAGTATTTTTCCTCTTAACAAAACCCCCCAACAATTCTGACGTGCCACTGCCTAGTTTTTGGCTGGAAAAGATTAGTGTAAAAATATACCTTTAATAATGATTAATTCTATTAGAGAGCTAGATAATGTATCTTAAAACTATTCTTACATGGCTATATTGTTTCAAAGGTATCTTAACTCTGGACAAAACACAAAGCCAAATGAAAGCATTATAGCACAAAGGAAAAATCCTCCCCTGCAATGGAAAATTTTAATCTTTTGAAGCAAGCTGCAGAGATGCTTAGCTGGACCTGGGTTGCCTAGATACCAATCACACCCTTTTGCCAACTGAAAGAAGTGAGGTATCAGCAAACCAAACAACTGACAAGTGGATGAGCTAGACTAGGCGGCAAATTTTCATTCCATTGCTCCAAATCTCCAAACAGCAAACAAAACACATTCTAGTCTGAAAAGGAGATCACTTTGTTTGGTGCATGTACTGAATCAGTCTTAATGGGAAAATACAGATTGGCTCCAGTCACATTTCTAATCAATACACACAGATTATTCATTAGTGACCTAGGCCGTACAATACTATGCATACTTCACTCAATGTTGGGATAAGAGAAAAGTAACACACTGTATACCCAACCTTGAGCACAGTGTAACACATAGCATGAAGGGTATCTAATTCACCTGCATTTACACTTCTTATCAGAAAAAGAGGGTTGGGGGTGGGGGGGAGCAGGCTCACCAGAGGCCCCTGTTAACCACAAAGGTGAACCTACAATAAAAAAAAAAATGACAATTCAAATCTTGGATATGTTTCAGCTTTGTGCACACATTCCTAACTATAAAGTGCCATGTTCAAGTTTGAGGAAGAAACACTGCCAAATTCACTCAGTGCACTTCAATATAAAATTCACATTTTCATTTAAAACCTGAAAATATTTGTTTGCATTCTGACTGGAGTTAAAGACTTCATCAAGTTATACTGCAGTAGTTATAATAAATTTAAAACAAAGCCAATAATTTCAGCCTCAAATACTTATCCTGCATTACAATTTTCCCTTGAAACTTTCTACCTTAGCTACACAATTCCAGTGACCTGGAATTATTAATAAAAAAGGCAACCTACCATAATTTTGGACACTGGTCTATGCTCCTATCCAGGGTTAAATGGCATGATTCTTCAGACACCTCAAGAAGGGCATCTGGAGACTTCTCTGCTAACACTGTGGTTTCTACCAGTAGGATGGACACTGTCCTCTTACACAGGATGCACACACCTAGGCTTCATTCTCACCTGTAGTACTAGTCCACCTCTGGCAAGTGGGACTTCATTTATTTTTCCCATCAATTGTTATGAAATAATAAACAAGACAGAGAAGTCTCTCAAGGTGGATAAGATCTAAATCACTGGTCAGGAAGCCTCAATTTATAATCGTTGTTTTCTACAAAAAGTGCATTCTTGTTTGATATCCTTTATTCATTTAACTTCTTGAAACTTTGCACTTTTAGAGAAAGGTTAGGGCTTGACTGTATCTACACAAACTGGCAAACAGACAACAAGGCTGATTGGTGGGTATCAGGTCGGTTATCTCTCATCTTCATATACTGATGTTAACAAGGATGTTACCTCTGGAGACGACAAACTCTCCCTATGCTTGAAGAAGGACATTTGAAAACTTGCAAAAACAATTTTTCCAACTATTTAGTTGGTCTTATAAAAGATATCACATCTATCATCTACCCAAAGTACCTTGTCTGCCTGTGATCTCTGGAGACACAAATACACAGTTTGAGAACTGAAACTAAGCATCACAAAGATGCTTAATGGGATCTTCTAGACAAGGGGTAAGCAACCCCTGGCACAGGCGCCAGAGTGCGGCACACAACATGCACCTTGGGGTGGACGGCAGGGAAAAGGCCAGGACTACACTGCCACAACAAGGATTGGGCCCCTCACAGCTCCCCTGCCTTCCGCTTCTGGCACACCAACATCTTACAAGCTGAGCTGGCAGGTGTTTTTGGCACTCTGTCCAAAAATACTGCCAACCCGTTCTAGACTGAGCACCGAGTCCCATTGGGTAAAATAAGTTTTCTTTAATCTTTACTAGTCTGTAAAGGAGCCTCTAGGAACCTTGCAAGACTGGGCCCCTAATATAGTCCGTGGCCTGTTGTAACCCATTTATAACACTTCTAGAAAGGTTACGTGAACATATTTTCTCAAATAGTATAGAATTATAAATTATAATCCCTATTCCATGACAATCTTTGAGCTATAGCATGCCTTAAATTAAAACTATCTTTATATAATTTTATTTTGTTAACAAAGCATCTTAAAATTAAAAAAAAATTAAGTGAAAAAAATCCCATTTCAATAAAAAAATTAAAAAATCAAAAGTGTTTTTTTTTAGCAACCCTGGTGTCTTCCTATACAACATAAAACAGTACTCGAGAGCTAGGCCAGTCTCAGATGGAGTCTTAAGATGCAACTGTGACAAATCCTCATAAAAATGCGCTTGGAGAAACCTACTTGCTTCAATAAACGAAGAATTAAGTTGTTTATGAAACCCCTTATCGTAGCAAATCCTTTAAAGTTACACGGTGCTATGTAAAATATTCTCCTTGTCATCTCATAACCTTGTCTTCCTTGCCCAGGTCTCTAGCAGAGGGAGGTAGTTAGCCATGTTAGTCTGAAGTCAAGGCAGAGGCACTTTAGAGATTACCTCACTCCGAAAGGGAGAAAGGCATAAGCTTTTGCAGACAACAGTTTACTTACTCAGATGCTATGAGAGGAGGTTATTATCAAGCATACTCCCTTCTGAAGGGGTCAGCCCCTAAGGTGCCTCCCAGAGCACCCTGCCTTCTGCCCAATTCTCTATGGTAGATCCAACACCCTTTGGGGGCATTGGAAGGTGTTGGTGTGGTTTTTTTGGTTAAAAAAAACAAACACAAAGGCACACACCTTCAATCCCCCCACCCCCAAACTATAGCTATCTATATAATTTCACCTGTTAAATAAGCTTGCAAGAGCATCACAATTGCAAGGCACAGAAAAGTGCTGTAGACTGAAAAATACAGCGCACCAGTGGCAAATTTAATTTCCAGGATCAAATACCATAAAGCGGAAATCCCCTTCTGAAAAAGCTGCATTAGGAAAGAAAGAAAAAAGAAATCCCCAGGCTTCTCCAGAACCTCTAATCATCCCAGGGGGTGAGACGCCTTTATTTGCCACAGGCTTGATGGGGCCGGGAGACGCAGTAGCTAAAGGTGACGGAGGGGCTCTGCTGACCTGACCCCTCCACCTCCCGTCGCACTTTGAATTGAGCTCATTCAGACAGTATCGAGGTGAGTCACAACTGCACAAGGGAAACAAACGTTTCCACAGCAGGAGGAAGACCCTCCCTCGGGGAACATGATGCAAGGCCCCGTTTTTCCTCTCTCAACCAGGTTATAAAGACTGGAGCAAACAATACACCCCCGCTCTCCCCGGGCAGGAAATCCCGACTTCAGCTGTCCAACAGCCTCTCCCTCCTTCCTGATGTAAGGCACGGGGCCTCCGTGCCTGGCGGCGCTCGCCCCTCACGTACCCGCATAGGCTGCATCCTCCAAGAGGGCCACCCCCGCTCAGCACAGACTTGCCCCCCCGGGAGAAGGAAAGAAGGAAGCACTCGCTCCCTTCCCGGGCCCCGAGACCCGCACGGGCCGAGAACTTCTGGCCAATGGGGGATGGGCTGCGCCAGGGTCCCGGGAGGCGCGAGCCAGGCCCGGCCCCGGAGAGGAAGTGAAACCCCGACTCCCACCTCCGCCTCAACGGGGCGGCACCCGGCGGGGACGAGGCGGGCGCGAGTTACCTGGCGGCAGCGGCAGCGCGGGCGGAGACTCCGGCTCTTTTGTTCCTCAGCGGCCAAAATGGCGGCGCCGAGCGGGGCGCCCCCTCCCCCCACCCGGCCGCAGGTAGGCCACGCCCCCGCCTCTCTATTGGCCCCGCCGAGGCCGCGGCGCGCTGATTGGGCGGGCGCCAGAGGGCCTGTTGCTAGGGCAGCGGGGCAGCATCGGCCACGTGACGGGGAGGAGGAGGAGGAGGGGGAGGGGTGCGTGGGCAGGAAGCAGCAGGCTTCGGGCGCCTTGCAGGCTCCCAGCCATTCAAATGAGAGCTGTGAAATAATGTTGAGGAGCAGGAGGATGCTCCACACTGGCCCCTGGCTCCCTATCTTTGCCTTGACCTGAACTCAGCACCTGGGTTGAGGTGCAGGGACTCTCTCCCCTCCTTTCTTTAAAAAAGGAAATGAAGCTGTCAGAGCAGCTGCTTGGGAACTTGTTCAGGGTGGAAATCCGGGCACGGCTCTACACGACACGGGCAGGGCGCTGAAGTCACCTTGTCACTGCCCTTCTGCAGGAATAAGCCGGTTGGTGGCAAAGGGACCCCTTGGCTCCACTCACCCCTGGCGCCAGGCACGTCTTTGCCAGCATCATGGCTTGGGGTTAATGGCAGCGGGCCTCGCTCACGCGCGGGTCCGGCTGCAGGAGTGGCCGTGGTCCCTACTGGGATTTAGTCTCCTGGTTCCTTTAATTACGTCCACGGCTCTCCATATTTAATCCTCCTAGTCCCTGGCCACAGCTGTCAGGAGAGCCACGAACATGGCTGTGGTTAGTTTGACTACTCCTCAGCTATGTTCCTGGCTCTAAGATGATCATTTTTTGATACCACAAGCAGAGGCGCCAAGTAGGTGGGGGCCCGAGGGCCCTGGCCCACCTTGGGAAAAGGGCTGGCACCTGAAATGCATGTAACTTTCCACACATCCATCATCTTAGCACCCCCCGCCCCCAGAAAAATAGAAGTTGGTGCCTATGAATTCACAAGCGTGGTGCATAACACCCGTCCCCCAGCCCAAGTGCTGTCACAATGCTTGTTGCGTGCAGGCCTACAATGCTGCTGCTTCGCCCACCAAACGGACTTGCTTTTTTCCTCAATGACCCTCTCACAAGGGAAAGGTGGCAAAGAACAAACTTACAGACATTTGAAGCAACAGTCATACCCAGAATCATACAGTCCTATACTCCTTTTGCTTCTGCTATGGTGGTAAAATCCCATTTCTGTCCTCCTGAACCATGAGGCAGCATTCACTCCTATGTGGCTCCCATCTCCCTTGATTTCACTCTATATGATGATAACCCTGTTGTAAAAAATGCTCTAGACTGTATTGCTTTGTGAAGTCACAGAATATAGCCAAATGTAACCATGTTAATGAGCCTGTAATAACAGACCTGTCAGCTCGGAAAGAACAAAAACTGAAAAATGAGATCGCTGCATTCTAGTTTACTAAGCAACAGCCCCTCTGACAATGTACTCAGTAAGGCAGTGTCATCTATTTAATCACATTAATGAGATAGGGCATTTTTACATAGGTATAAATTACTAGCATCCTGTGCTAATTTTAAATTTATTAAAGGTCAGAAAGCTAAAAGTGGTAAAAACCACCACAATTCTGTCTCATAAAACACAGCAGATCTCTGTTTCCAAAAACAATGCTTAGACCTTTCACTGCATCCCTAGAGATCAGATGCTGTGACACTGCCCTAAGCAGAGAGCATCCTGTGGAACAACATGTGTCTTGTATCAAACCTCCCATATTTGATTCCTGAATTCTTATCAAACAAGACAAAGGGGTGAATTTTTCACAGTGCCTATTTGGCAAGAGAAGGTGCTATTCTTTGTGGAAATGTGCAGCATCACTTCACAAATGAGGTTCATAGGACCTTCCATTTGTGTCCATACTAAAAGTACCATACTTATGAAAAGTGCTGTATAGATAATAACTATTTGCCACAGGTTCTTTCTGCCTAAGATATGCATATCTGTCCTTCAGATGCCACAGATGCAAGGTGGGGGCTTCTATTACGAATCCCTGGAGGTCTGCAGATTATTCTCAGCAGAAACAGTTGGCAATGACATTTTTCCCCCAATATACATGTCAATATCAAAGCATGACATTTTGGTGGATATTTACAATTCTCTGTGTTCTCTTGTCTTGAATGGGTAGCTGTGGACTGTGACTATAGCTTATCCTTACGGCGGTTCCTCATTTTGGTTGGCATTTATCAATACATTGTTCGTGTTTTAGTCACTGATCATATGGTCATGGTTGTTTTATAAATGATGTAATTGTCTCCAAGAGCAAATCTGATGTATGTTCACCAGTCACTGGGAGGCAGGTGTTGAGATACAGCCCTTTGAGCCTTGTGTGTGATTATATTATACTCTCAGAGGGCAAGAAATATTATTAGGTTATTAATGGTTGCACTATGTTTCTTCAGGTCTTGTTCCTCACAAACATCTTTCTACCCTTCTTAATTAGTTGGTAGTAGCAGGTTCCAGCTTATGCAGATCACCCAGATGTCTCTGGTTTTCCTATGATCAATGTCACTGATACAGTTCATGACTGTAATAAGATGTTGAAATCAGGTTTCATTTAACAGGTGCAGTGTTATGGCTCACCTCTCACTGCATCCCCCCCGCCCCTTACCCCCTTCACGGCCCTTGATTATGCATCTCTCACGTTCGTTTTCTGAACAGTGACCATACTTCTCCAGATCCCTTTGTACCTGTGACTCGGTCATTAGCTAACAGCTTACATATGCTTTGAGAAGAAAATGCTAAATTAATCCCTTGCTTGTCTGCTTGGCACTCCAGGTGACCCCACAGTGCTTACTTTGAACACCTTACCCTGGGCTTTGACTTGTCGTCACTATACATAAGACACTTAGCTGTGCAGGCGGTTAAGAGTTACTGTAAATAGCAATTATTTTCTTGCCAAACAAAGGAGATGTACCGTGGGTACAGCATTAGCTCTGAAGGTTTTAGTCCTCTGCTCACCTTGAGAAGTGTCCGCTTCCAACAGTGACAGACCTTTCACATAATAAATAACCACCAAATATTGTACTTCTGCAAATGCCTGTTGTTTGTGTTAAGAGGTGGTGAAAAGTGTCAGACTGTCAGATTGAGAAACCAAAGGTTTTCTTCTATCCATGGAATTGATACAGATATCAGCAAGCATGTTTCTCCTTCCCCTGCTGTTCCTATCCGTGACCCAGAGGAACAACCCCATAGCAAGATGCTCACAAATGTATTGCATGTTCAGTCTATGTTTTCCCTGCCACAACTTCCCACAAAGGACATCGTACTGTTTGGCACCTATAACCTAGGCCCTAGGACCTGTTTTCTTCACTGGAAGTAGTGAACAATGATAAGCTGAGATATATTCACTTGCCTATCTGAAGGTTATCTTGCCACAGGGAAACTTGGAGACTTTCATTTAAATAAAGCTGAGATTTCACAACACAAGCAGTGAGCCAAAAAAACCAAACACACTCCACACCTGCTCACCAGGTCAGTCAAGCTCAAACCTTAGACAGATATTTTCCAATTCTGCTGGTCTTTCCATTTCACAAACCCTTTATTCTGCCTACAGCATACTACTTGTATAATGTCTGTGATGAGTTGGATTCATGCACATCGTATTAGTTACTTTTTTTTAACAAATGCTTTTTGGATAGTGTGTATGATTCAATGCACAAAAAATGTATTCTACTAAAGCAGCATAGCACTTGCTCTAGTCACCAGGGCAGATTAAAAATGCCATACTGTCAAGAGGTATGCTAGGACTGAGTGTAGGTAAAATGCACTCTTGAGTCTATCTTCAATCCTGACCAGGTCATAAAAATAATAATCTTAACAAACAAACAAAAAACCACTGGAAAAAAATAACGATGGAAAGACTTTTCTTTTTCCAGATTCAAAGCAAAGCCAGCTGCATTGGCAGCACAGAGCCCAGTCCCCAGCCAGGCATTTCTATTCCCCTTGAGCAATGACAAGGTGATGAATGAGTGCTGCAAGATAAACAGGAGAGGACTTTGTTTACTGGGATGAGATGTCTCAAAAGCTGCAGGGGTGGGTGGGCAAACAGCTGCCATTTTAATGACTCAGGTTATGGAGGTATCACAGATTAATCTGTGATACTCTGCCAAGATCTCTAATTAATGGGTCTTTTTAACCTCATGTTGCGCTCATTTCAATTGGTCTGATCAGATCCAGAAAAAAATAATAAATCCAGAGCATACCATTTAAAAGTTTATAAAAGTTTACAAGCAACAATTCAGAAAAACTTAGAGCCATGACATGTATATTCCTTCTGAAATTAGTTATAAAAGAACTGGCTGGCTCAGCAAATTAATAGAGAGCTGTGGAGCCTGACATCTCTGGTTCATTCGTTCAAATCTAGTCCACATTCCCGATAAGAGAAAGTTATCTCGATGTGCCTGAGCTCCACATCTCTAAAGTACAGAGAACAATGCTTCCTTTCTTTCATTTCTTTGTCTATTTTGTCCATTTATGTTACGAGCTGTTTAAGGTAGGGGCTGTAGATGCTTTCTGTAGCAACAGGACATAGTCTCTGAATCAAAAGCAAATGGAATTTCATGGGACAAAGAAAGGCAGTCTCTGGCTCCAGAGCTTTCTTCCTGCTCAGTTAGAAGGTTAGAAGCAGCTGCTCCTGGAAAAGCGCTTACATGCCTGTTACCATTCTTATTGCATCCTCATTGGATGTGTGATGTCACAGTTCTCCAAAATGTGTTCAGAATAAAAAACAAAAAAAAAACACAAGAAAATCCACAAAGTTACCATTTCCATTTTGGAATGGGTTATTGGTCGTTGCTCTTGGGTAACTGATCTCATTCAGTGAATAAGGTAATGGGTTGATAGCACAGAGGTGCTGCTGCTCCTGCTCTTAAGGCAGGAAAGAGCTATGGGTCCCGCAGCTTCCTGTTCTCACCGCCAACACATATGTGGTTATGTGACACACCCCTGGGCCTGTTTCCCCACTTGCTAGGGCCCTGCTCTCTGTAGTTTTAAGCTGCTCCAAACATAGCAACCACCCCTCCAACTTTTCTTAGTGAAA